TGTATCCTTTTCAAAGAAAAGGGTGTTGAACCAACCTATCCTGGGCCATCAGAGCAGCAAATTGTGCAAATGCTGAGAGAATCCACAGTCACTTCCTAAACTCTGAGGACGTACGACACATGTGGCAGGGGATCTGGGCCATCACCCACTACAGGACATCTCCACCTGCCTGTGACAGTGAGACCTCTCTTCCAGATGCGCTGAATCACATCTATGCACGATTTGAATCATTCCAACATGCTTCAATGCCACCACCATCATCTCCGTGCCAAAGAAGTCTTGTGTCCTGCCTCAATAACTACCATTAACATTGATCATCATGAAGTGCTTCAAGAGGCTCGTCATGAGCTACATAAAATCACAGAATCTTCGCTCTGTGACTCTGCAACCTTTTTTATTGGTGCCTCTTCCTCACATACATGCATAAGTATCTGTAGCGTGTCAGACTCACACTCTCTACTCACTTCAGCTTCTCCAGTTTACAGCTGGGATCCTCCAGTACAGCAGAGAGCAGCTTCACTCCTGAGTCTCCAGGGTGATTGTAGCTCAGATCCAGCTCTCTCAGATGTGAGGGGTTTGACCTCAGAGTTGATGCCAGGGAAGAACAGCCTTCTTCTGTGACTCTACAGCCTGACAGCCTATAGAAAGGAAATCAAAATTTTGGACTAAATACAGGTGGCAATTATTCTTCAGATGTCAGTGCTGATGTGCCCAAAGCGACCAGCGACTGGCCTGGACCCACCAGACAAACAGCCCTTCAGCACCTCCCCTTTTTCCTCTATCCCTGTTCTTCCTGTTCCTGATAAAAAGCTGCCATTCGGGGGTAATATTCTACACCTGAGTTTGCCTGTGTGTCTCTGTTCCTGCAACCGCTACACACAGTTCACTGAAGCTCATCTTTTAGCCGCACTGACTGTGTAGTAACAGACAGAAATCATCTAGGTTAAAAATAAAACCATTCAGTGACAGTGACCCAGTGCATGAAACTTAGAACAACAGGATTCCCTGAACTTCAGCCACAAGAAGAGCACTGATTGCAGAGAGGATGAGGCCCTGGAGTGACGCCAAGAGCAAACGGCATGACGTCACAGGTGCCGGAAAGTCGGCTAAACCCCAAAGGGTGACGATCAGCACTACAGCACTGGACAGAAACCGCTAGATCCCCACAGTCGGCCGCAGAAACACCCGTGAGGAAGTGAGGAATGTCAACAGGAGGCGACCGGCAGCTGATAAGAGCTCTAGAGAGGGGGCAATATCGCCTCACCCAGTACGACTCAAAGCCTGCATCGTGGACAACCCCACAATGAAAATTACATCACTGTGATGGTGCATCTGTGTCTGTGTGAAGTATGAACCAGCCCTGGACAGCAGGGGGGGAGGCCGACTGGTAAGTAGGCCGCTTGTGATCTCTCTCTCTCTGAAGACAGACGGCCTAGAGGATGACCACACGGAAAGGACTGCCGCCTCCCGCCTGCTCAGCCTGTTACCAAGGAGCCGGGCCCAGCCATGTGCCCTTTCTAAATGTACCCCCTTTTCCCCCAAAAACAAACACTGCCCATTTGGGGTCTCCACTGCAACCCTGTGTCTCCTGCCTCCTTACCCAACACAGGAGACTAACCTGGGAAAGATTAACCTTCACATACAGATCAGAACAGAGCTGGGAAACACCCCCATCTGACTGCCGAGGGGAATCGCTGACGATCCCCCCAAGGAGAGGGCTGTACAGAGCCTCCCATGGTCTGGCTGTGAAAACACTGGCAGCAGGTGAATATGTGTACAGTGGATGTCAAAGGCGACACGTCCCTATTGTATCTCTACTCTGACCTAAAGCTTTTCAAGCATTTTTATTTAAATAGATCCCCTTCTTTTCCATTCAAATAGCTGCCAGTCTTTATTCT